GATCGCGCACTGGAAAGAGCTCAGGGCGGATGTCGGTACGAGCGTGTACGCCGACGACCTTTTCAGAGCCCATGTTGCAGCCAACTTTACCACGGTGGGAGAGTTTCTCTCGGTCCTCAGGGAGGCGGATGAGGCACTTTCGGAGGAGTTGCAGGAGTACGGGTATGCCCAGAATGTTTCGAAACAGGAGCTGCAACTATGTTTCCAGGGACCAGGGGCGGTGAAATGTCGGCAGTGGGTGCGGGGGACGGGACGTTCGAGCATCTCGGGAGAAGTTCAGGAGGACGTTCGTTATTTGGGACCTAGAATTAATCTGCAGCAAACGGCATTTATAGAAGTTCGTCGTCGGATCCAGGCCACAGCGGAGGCCTACTATTCGCTCGGCCAGGTATGGAGTTTATCAGTACCGTTCCGCTGGAAGCGGACTCTATTTCTCAGTTTTGTTCAGAATGCCGCGCTGACGGGCCTGGAGCCAATGCTGTTGACCGCCAAACATTATCGAGAATTGGACGCACTTACAGCTAGATATGGGAGGAGGGCGATGCAGGGGAAGGCGGTGATCAGCAAGGAGGAGGGGAAGATGAGGACGCTCACAAACAAACAGGTCATGCAGCATTGGCGTCTAGCAAGTTCTGCCACAGAACTTCTTGTTCGCAGGTTGGGCTGGTATCGCAGCTGGGCCCTTCGCCCAGAGTCTCACACGCAGGAGTTGTGCTTGCTTTTCGGCACGATGCCACTTGATCCAGGAGGTACAGCGCTCTCTGGTAATCAAGTTTTACTGTCTCAGGCGTCCCCATGGCTCGTTCGGCTACAGGAAGACTTTCAACATGCCGCCGAGCGGATGGACGAGGGACAGATCTGCGCGCACATTGCACGATTCCCTGGAAAACTCATCAGTAAGGAAACGGTGTCGGCTCTTGCTCGACTAGACTTCACGGAGATCCGATCCAGGGAGTTGTCGGTCACCTTTCCCCCGACCGATGGAGAGGCTCCGCTCGACAGGGACCCCGAGGCTGAGGACCCCCTTGAATTCCCTGAACATCTTTGGAAGTGCGACTGGGAGGAGGAGGAGGGGCACATATGCGAACGGGGCTTCCAAACTAAACGAGACCTGCTAAACCATATGCGTCGAGTTCATCAAGTACATAACTTATGTTCGTCAATTACACCAACAAACACCTGTATTGTATGCCGTCGAGTCTTCGGGTCGCAGGGCAGTGCGTACAAACATCTACAACGGGCTGTCTTGGCGGGGAGGTGTCCTGCTCGTGGTACTTCGACGTTTCGACAGGTCCAAGTCCCAGGAAGCTTCGATTGTAAGATATGTGTGTACAAGGCTGGTGGGCTCGATGATCTCTGTAGCCATTTGGCTGAGTGTCATCTTCCACGGACGGTTGAAGCTAACCTCCCTCCCGAGCAAAGAGTTGCCGACGATGCCAGTGGAGGGGGAGGAGAAGCTGGACGTTCCAGAGTGGATGCTGGCCCCATCATCAGAAGGGGGACCCGCCAAGCACCGTCGAACCGCAGGCAGAAAGGGCGACCTCGGCAAGCTCGCGGGCTCCACGCTGTCTCAGCTCATCATGATTCTCGCCAAACTGGTATTATCGGACAGTCGGCAGCTGGCCGAGTTGACGGCCACAGTGTACAGAACGTTCGACCTCGACGCAGGCACGGGCTTGGCATCAGCAATGGAAGAAGCAGGACAGGGGTACAACGACGTATCAAAAAGCCTCAAAGAAAAGTCGGCAAAAGGCGATCAGGTCAACTGAATAGCAAGGGGGCCACCATTCGTGCAGATATTTATGGCATCTATGCTATGGGCGGCGCAGCAAGCGGACAAGAAGGACGCCCCAGTGTGGGCGAAGGAGTTCAAGCTCTTGTGGACGGACAAGATCAGCAAGATGAAGATGGCCGAAGTTGGGGAAGTGGTACTACATTGGCAGTGGAAGAGGAACAGGGGCAAGCAGTCCGAGGGCGAGAACAACATGGGGAGGATCATTTTCGCGATCGACACCTCCCGCCCCTTCGGCCTGGCCCTGGCAGACTACGTCGAGAAGATGCTCGCGGGGCTCGGCGCGGAGAGGAAGATCGGACCAGCCCCCCGCGGGCCGCTCGAGAGGGATGCAAGCAAGTTGTTGGCAGAACTGAAGGAGTCGTCGTGAGAAGTAGGAGTGAGCAGCGGAGAACCGAGCAGAGTGTGAGTTTAGATAGGCTTTCTCAGCCTAGTAGCAGTGGCAACTCAGGGCGGCCTAGTCAGGCCGAGTTTTTTGAAACTCCTGGCAGCGTCGGGGCCATCCAAGGGGAAGCTCCTGGCCGTCCGAGGGTCGCCCGACCGAACTTTTTGAGCAGCTTGCAGCAACTGAGGGGTAGTGTTAGGCTAGTCGAACTAATTGCAAGAGGCAGTGTCAGTGCAGATATTTTGGACCCGAGCCCCACCCCTGCCCCATCAGCCTATAACCCCGAGATAGCGACCACCCCCACCATTCAGAGGGAAGGAGGCACGCGAAGAGGGAGAGGCAGGAAGGGGAAGGGCAAAGGAAAGGGCAAGGGTCGGTAGCAGTTCTCATTGGTCCCCACCAGTGGGCCCCTCGTTAGGCTGCGTGCCGAATTCGGGGGTGCCCACAGGGGCGGTGCGGCGTCCGTCGAGAGCCACGGGCCGCGCTGGATGGTTTGGCGGCATTAAGTTTCGCCCCCCAGAGTTCACCCTGCCCCACCCCGCTAGGCAGTCAGCTTGGCAGGCGATAAGCAGCAGCAGACGAACTCCCACGGGCCTGATCCTGATCCTGATCCTCCTCCTCCTCCTCCTCCTCCTCCTCCTCCGCCCTCTCGTCGTGGAGGTTCCCAGCAGTGCTCGGCATCGGGCCTGCGCCGCGCCCCCGCGGCCGCCGAGGCACGACACCCGTCCTGCCGCCCGTCTCCAGGACGAAGGGCGCCAGTTGCCCGCCTGGGTGGCGCGCGTGCTTGTCACGCTCGCCCCGGCGCCCCGGCTTCCCCGTCGCGCTGGGCAGCCACCCGCAGCTCGGCGGCCGTGCCCGCCGCAGGGTGGCGGACGGTCATGTCCAGCCATCTGCGGGACAGAGGTCGGACCGACCGACAGACAGACCGACCGACAGACAGACAGACAGGCAGACAGGCAGGCAGGCTGGCAGACAGGCAGGCAGGCTGGCAGGCAAGCAGGCAGACAGAGGCAGACAGAGGCAGAGGCAGAGGCAGAGGCAGACGGAGCGAGGCAGACAGAGACAGAGACAGAGACAGAGACAGACAGAGACGGACAGACAGAGCGAGACAACCATTTGGGGGGGAAGAGCACGACAGACATAGAGCGCAGAGGCATGGGGAGCCTGGAGCAGCTGCGCAGGAGAGGCTAGGTGCGTGCACAGATCGGCCACGGGACCTCCAGGCACGGATGGGGCGTGTCCTCGGGAGGAGGCGGAGGAGGAGGAGGAGGAGGAGGAGGAGGCGGAGGGTCCTCTGCCTCATCCTCGAAGCCTCGACCCCTCACTTCTGACGGGCCTCTTGGGGGCCCCGACCCCGAACTGCCGAATCCCTCGGGGCTTGTCGCGTGCCCCGTGGGCTATGGTCAAGAGGGCCCCGGATCGCCGATCGATCGTTCCGAGACGCCCAGAATGGCCTCAAGATGGCCCAAGAGGCCTCCAAGGCGTCCCAAGAGGCCTCCAAGAGGCCTCCCAAGAGGGTCCCCAAGAGGCCCCCAGGGGCAAGCATCCTTGATTTTCCGATGGCTCTTGGAAGATTTTGACGTTCTCGCCTTCTCTGTTTTCCGACGCTTCATGACGGCCCAAGCGGCCCCCAAGACCACCCCAAGACGGCCCAAGAGGCCTCCAAGAGCCCCAAGACGGCCCAAGAGCGCTCCAAGACGGCTCAGGAGGCACCCAATACGGCCCAAGAGGGCCCCAAGACGGCGTCAAAAGGGGCCCAAGAAAGGGAACACGACCTGAAAATCCGAGCCTCCTGCCCCAAGAGGCCCCCAGGAGGCCTCAAGAGGCGCCCAAGACGCCCTACAAGACCCCTCAAAAGCCCCCAAGAGGCCCCAACACGGCCCCCTAAGAGGCATCAAAACTCCCTTTCCCACGAGATCCCAGCGAACATCCAATAGGCTTCAACAACCCAGGCACGTTGGGGGGATGGGCCGAAGGCCAGTCGATACAGAGAGAAAGAGCATATCTGAAGAAGGAGAGAGGGAGAAAGAGAGAGAGAGAGAGAGAGAGAGATAGAAAAAAAAGGAGAAAGAGAGAGAGAGAGAGGGAGAGAGAGAGAGAGAGAGAAAGATACAGAGAGAAAGAGAGAGAGAGAGAGAGAGAGAGAGAAACATAGTGAGAGAGAGAGGGAGAGACAGATAGAGAGAGAGAGAGAGAGACATATAAAAAAGAGAGAAAGAGAACGATAACGATAACGATAAAGAGAAGGAGGGAGAGGGAGAGGGAGGAGAGGGAGTCATATGGGAGGGACAAGCGACGGGATCGGCATGCTGCAAAGGCGGCCCGTCCTCCTCCTCCGCCTCCTCCTCCTCCTTATCCTGCCATCCCAGCTCCTCACGTTTCTCGTCATCTGCCCGCTCTGTCTGTCCTCCCTCCCCTTCGCCCCCCCCCCCCCCCCCCCCCCCGACTCCTCTGCGCGCCTCCCCTCTCCTCTGCCCCCCCTGCTCCTGCGCCAACGTGTCCCGCCCCGTGGCAACTCGGAAAAAGCAGAGCAGGATGCTACCCGCGGGGCGGGCGCGGCAGAAGTCGCGCCGTGCTCCTCCTCCTCCTCCTCCTCCTCCTCCTCCTCCTCCTCCTCCTCCTCCTCCTCCTCCTCCTCCTCCTCCTCCTCCATCCTCCATCCCCATCCTCCATCCTCCATCCTCCATCCTCCATCCTCCATCCTCCTCCTCCTCCTCCTCCTCCTCCTCCTCCTCCTCCTCCTCCTCCTCCTCCTCCTCCTCCTCCTCCTCCTCCTCCTCCTCCCCCCAAGCGGGGCGCCGCAAGGCGCCGCAGCCGCGCGGCCTTGATGACGGGGCCGCGCATCCAGCAGTACCGCAGACTGGGGCACTGGCCCTTGTCCTGGCGCGCCGCGCGCGGGCCCCTGCGCCCTCCCGAGGCGGAGGAAGAGGAGGAGGAGGAGGAGGAGGAGGAGGAGGAGGAGGAGGAGGAGGAGGAGGAGGAGGAGAGGAGGAGGAGGAGGAGAGGGGGAGGAGGAGGGGGAGAGGAGGAGGAGGGGGAGGAGGAGGAGGAGGAGGAGGAGGAGGAGGAGGAGGAGGAGGAGGAGGAGGAGGAGGAGGAGGAGGAGGAGGCGCGCGGCGCGCGCGGCCCTGCCCTGGGCGCGCGCACACCGCAGGAAACGCCGCCGGAGCGGGCGGCAGGGCCGCCCGCGTGCATTCCTCTCGGCACCCTTCGCCTCCTCCTCCCTCGGCTTCCTCGGCCCATCCCTCCTTCTTCCTTCTCTCCTTCCCATCCCATCATCCTCCTCCTCTTCCTCCTCCTCCTCTCCTCCTCTCCTCCTCCTCACTCCTCTTCCTCCTCCTCCTCCTCCTCATCTTTACTATTCCCCCTCCTCCTCCTCCGTCATCTCCCTTCCTTATCCTCATCATTCCCCTCCCTCTCCTCCTCCTCCTCCTCCTCCTCCTCCTCCTCCTCCTCATCTTTACTCTCTCCTACTCCACCGTCCTTTCTCCCACCTTATCACCCGCCTCCTGACACGGGAGGATCGACGGATATAATCAGTGATTGTAGTGGTTTCATCGGCTGTGCCACGGACGCTGCCAATGCGCTGAGCCCCATGAACGAAGGCCGGCATATGTGGGTGTCGTGGTGGCACAAGCATGGTAGCACGGCGCGCGTGTAGAAAGTCAAGGCGCACAAAGATATTGCTGAGGCCTCTTCTTCGGGCGAGGAGTAATGCTCAGAGGCAAAGCCGTCTTGCCGACGAATGGGCCACGAAGGGTGTCTTTCTTTCGGGAGTCAAAGAAGAACAGATAGTGATGGTCGAAGCGTGTGAGCGCCGAGTAGACCAGATGGTGCGATGGGAAGGGCGATTGCATGCTTGGTTGCATGAACGACTTTTTGTCGGGCGCTGATGGGGTGGGGGGCACTGCCGATGTGCAACTCGACCTAGATATCTGTTCAGATTTCGCCGAGACAGAACTGGGAATGCAACCAGACCGACTGCTGCCTGACCGGAAAGTTAGGGGCGTTCGCGCTGCATCAAGCACAGGCCCGCGAGAAGGCAGCATTCAGGAGACCAGGGCTCAACGACGCAGCCTAGGTGGGAGCGTTGGCGTAGTTCGTCGGCAGGCCTTGGAGGCTGAGAGAGCACGCTGCTGTGCAGGCTGAGGTGGAAATTCGCGAGGGTTCCAGCGCACTCCTCGCTTACCCTCCCCTGTATGCAATGCGAGGCGTCTGTGCGCCGCTCCGACAGCCCGGGGGCAGGCAGGACTCGCTGCCAGGTGCAGAGGGGAGGGGGGAGGGCGTCTGGAAGCTACCCCTGTCGCCCCTCCCCGCCTCGAACTTGTGATCACCATCCTCCGCGGCCCTCCTCCCGATCCTCGACGAGAAGGAGAAGCCTCACACGGGAGACCGTCCTCGAAGAAATGCCCTGCTCTATCTCGCAGGCCGATGTAAACGGGTACCTCTGCAAGCCGGTTGTTTGAATAGCATTGGTCTGCTTACTTGTGGGACATACAGGGAGAGGGAGAGAGAGAGAGAGAGAGAGAGAGAGAGAGAGAGCGAGAGAGACATAACTAAATAAAGAAAGAAGACCAGAAAGAAAGAGAGAGAGCAAGAGAGAGAAAGGGACGTCGAGTAGTCCTTGTCTGACGCTTCGTACTGCATCGGTGCAAGCTTTTTCGCTTCCCCCTCCTCATCTGGAATGTGGGAGAGCAGCTCCGCGGGGGAAGTGGGGAAACTGGGAAGAAGGAAGGAAGCGAAGGGCAGAGGGAGGAGGAGAGAGGTGGTGAACGGGGGAGCGAGAGAGAGAAGGTAGGATCAAACTGGGTGCGCTCGCGCCAGATCCGACCCCTTTCCCGCTGCGCCGAGCTGTTTCGTCGGCATCCTGTAGCCTACAGGGCTTTGCTTCCCCAAATGGCCCATCGTGTGGTGCGCCATCAGAACGGGAGGGCTTCGTGTACTGACAGAGGAGGACCGGCAACAGCAGGAGCAGGAGGAGGGCTACCGAGCTCGCTATGGGCCGAAATAGGTACTACGCCCTTCTTTAGCGAAGCACTCGAGACTGAAGGGCGACTGGGGGCGACTCGCAACGAATCCGTGCTGCCAGAAGAAGCCAGCAATTGCCCGACAACGGCCCGCATCTTTGTAGTAAACGGGATGGCCGAAACCTAATGCCAGAGGCCGTCGTGGAGCTACGACAGGTTCGTGTCGTGCCGACTTTGGAGTTGGTTTCTGACACCGCGAGGATCGTTCAACCTTGAACGATCGGCCGTTTCCGAAACGTCCAAATCGTTACACATCGAACGATTCTGGGTCGCCCACGGCGATCAACGTTGAACGCCGCTGGCGGGGTCGCCGCCAGTCGACACGATACGAACCTACCGCAGCCCATGGGAGTGGTGCCACTAGCCGTAGTGGAGCGAGTCCACGGGGGAGAAGTTATTCCAGACGCCCCAGTGTGAGGCTTCGGCCATGCCTTGAACAACACAGTGGCTGACACTCACCAGGAGGCATTCGGCCGAGATGCACATTCCTGGTCCTTGGCCCTCTGGATTTCCTGGCCTCTCATGAGCAGGAGGGGGAGCAGAAGGATCAGCGGAACGCGGACAAGGGGAAAGGAAGGGGGACAACGACGAGGAACGAATCATATCCAGAAGTGTCGTTCACGCTGGAGCATCAGCGCCGTTTTAAATGATGGCAGTAAAACGCCAAATCCTGAAGTGTGGCCGATGCTGCAGCGAGGCCACACTTTATGCTTGAAAGACACGAGGACTAAAAACGCTCCGACCGAACAAGAATACCACACGGCTAGTCGTGAATTCCTCGGTGTGTGTGTATGTGTGTGTATGTGTGTGTGTGTGTGTGTGTGCGTGTGCTTGTGTTCGCGTTCGGGATATGTTGAGGAACCTTCGATGTTTGCGGACATACTAACGCAGGAAAGGCGGGATGACGCCGAGACGCGACTGGAGGCAGAAGAAAATAGTCAATGTAAATGTTTCTTCCCGTTTCAACCGTTAAGTGTTTACAAAAACAGGCACGGCGAGTCTGACTGCTGAGCCCTAGAGGCATGCACCGCATGTGGAAACGAAACCTGGCTGTGGCGGAACCGAAGGTTTGACGGGGCGCCCAAACCGAGACACGTCCCAGAGACCCAATTCTGGGTTGTCCCCCGCAAGCACGCGACGTCAATGGGCCAAGCTATACCTGGACAGGGGCCGGAAGATGCGACATCACCCAAGGAGCAAAGCGGGCTGAACCACAGACATGCTCCAGTCGTCCCCTGCTCTGGCGGAGCCCCTCGGGCAACCTCCGTCAAGGGAATCTCGTCGCGAAACAAACTTGACAGCATTCATAGAATCCATCGCGGAAGCGAAAGGGGCGAACGAAGGAGGAGGAGGAGGAGGAGGAGGAGGAGGAGGAGGAAGAGGGAGGAGGGAGGAGGGAGGAGGAGGAGGAGGAGAGGGGAGGAGGAGGAGGAGGAGAGGAGGAGGAGAGGAGGAGGAGGAGGGAGGAGGAGGAGGAGGAGGAGGAGGAGAGAGGGCCCTGGCCCTCTTCCTCTTGGAGAGACCGTCTAATGGCGGCTACCGGCGCGGCCTCGGTGGCTCTGCCCAGCTGTTCTGACCGAGTGAGAGGCCCACCGGCTGCTTCAGTGCTGTTCTCCTCGGCAGGGGAAAGCACGTCCGAACGGGAGGCGCGAGCACGAACATAACGAGTGGGGTCGGGGCATCTGTCCAGATTGCCAGAGCTATCAACAGATACACTCGATCTTATGGGGGTGCTTTGCCTACTCATCATGGGCCGCACCCACTTCCCAAACTTAGAGAGGGGTGGGGGACACGTGCTTCTGAGGGCTGCCACGCGACCGTGCGAACTGCGCTTTGCATACTGCACGAATCACGACGAAAGAGCCGTCGCTGCATGGCAGGAGGCTGCACCTGTGATCCGTCTCCGCAGATGGCTCGAGATCTGGAGCGACGGCACCTGGGCAGCGCCCAGGAGGAGGTCTTCTGTGCCGTGGCTTCCTGCAAACTTGCCAACACTTCACGCTGGTGTCTGTGTCTGGATGCGGAGTCTGCTTCCTTGAGAGGTTTGGGCAGAGGTCGGCGCTCGACTTCTTCGAGCCCCCGCCGGCTGGCAGTCGGGCGCCTCGCTTTAGTCCGCGCGCGACGCTATGAGCAGAGGGCGACGGCGGGCCCGACTCGAGGGAAGTTCGGGGCGGAGATGGAGAACGACCCGCGCGACCTGGAGCGGAGTCAGTCAGATACCTCCCTCGCGCGAAGTGAATCAGGACACAGGGAAAAGCGTCGCCCAACGGCCAGCCAAAGAATCCGATGAGGCAGCCGTCTGGGGCCACGTCAGAGCCCAGCTCGCGGCCGAGGCGCGTCTCGCGGGACGCCGGCAGCTCCGAATCTGGACAGGAGGGGCCGGCATGAAAGGCATCTCGGCCTCGCGGGCCGCGGCGCGCTGTGGTCTCCAGAGGGGGTTCCACGGGGGCGGGGCAGAGGCCGCGTCGGCCCCCGCATCTGCAGGACCCGAGGCCCTTCGAGCTGAGGCGCAGCCTGCGAAGCAGGCAAGGGGGCCTAGGAGGACTGCTGGGGGGGGCCCGAGGGAAAGGCCTCCGAAACCGAGGACGCCCAAACCCTACCCCAGTCCAACCGCAGCCAGAAACTGGGTGACCCCGTGGGAGAGCGAAGCCAAGGGGCCATATCCCATGGAAGAGCTGCTCCCCTGAAATGCTGGCTTCCTCGGCGACTCCAAACGAGGGGAAGAGAATCGGTAGACGCTGCAATAAACCTGGCTGCGACACTGAGCTTGGCTTCGGCTTCAAGAGCCGCAGCCTCAGCCGCGGAAGATGCCGAAGCAGCAGCAGCAGCAGCAGCAGCAGCAGCAGCAGCAGCAGCAGCAGCAGCAGCAGCAACGTCTGCGGCAGGTGCAGCCCTTAGCTCCGTCGACTGGGGCCGCTGCGCCACCGCTCCCGCTGCCACTGCCGCCCCCGTCTCCGCCTGAGGGCTGCTGTGTTGGCACTGGCACTGGAACTCCACCTGCTTTTGTCATGCGTCTTCCTTTGTTGCGAGACGAGAAAGCAATGGACCGTGGCCCATTCGAGCCTGACGCGCTTTGGCTGCCGCCTTGCCGAACAATGCAGCGACCACACTCTCAAGCTCTGTCCGGAGCTTGAGCAAGCGCTGGTCTGCCTCCCGCTGGGTCGTACTCATTCGCGCACTCGTCGGGGCCACACGTGCCCAGGACCCCAGCGATCTTGGGATCTGGTCAACGCGGCCCTCGAGGGCATCGTCGACAGGCAGACCTGGCACAGCTTTGACGTCGTTGGACGAGGGGCCTGGCTGAGGAGCCACCTTCCTGTGGAGGTCCTGCACGAACTCGGTATGCTCGGCCTCCGCCTGGGTAAGATCCTTGAACACTGCAGATACCCAATCACGCTGCTGGCCCAACTGCTCTCCTGCCGTTTGTAGCCAAACACTGCCTTCTCGAGCTTGGCCTCAAGGGCACGAACATGCTGAAAGGGGAGCGGAGGGGCCGAGGTCGCAGGCCGTCGTTGGAAAGAATCCGTCTTCTTGTGCGCAGCAGCGCTGGCCGTGTCGCCGACTTTCCTGAAGAGCAGGATGGCGGACTGAAGGTCTGAGACTGTTGCTTCGGCAACCACCACTGGTAAAGCGCCGACAGGGCCCTGCGAGCCAACAAACTGAGTTCCAAGCAAGCGAGGGAGGCGACCACTAGACACCACATCCGCATACGTCGTACACGCCCCGTCATAATCTTCCAGCTGCTGGCTACGCCACCAAGTCGCGTTGTTGTATCAGGAGTCCCAGGAGCTTCATTGGCTGGCGGACGAGTCAGAAGGCTTCGGCTGCTTACGATGCTGGCACCAAGGCCGCGTTGATTTGTTGCGCTTGCACCCGTACCCGGTGCAAGCCACCGTCTTACCGTTACCACCGTGGCGGTCCGCCACAGGATGGCCCATGCTAAAAGAGAGGAGATACTTCCCAGCGCAGGCCTTTTCTAGGGGAGACCCTCAATCGAGCACAATGAAATGTTGGCACAACCTTCGGAACAATGTGGCGATTCGAGCCAGAGAGGCGCTTGAGCGTCGTGTACTTGTGTGGGAGGCAATGAAGAAACGATGAGGGCGAAAGAAGGCGATGGGGGAGGAGGGGAACCCGGGCACGGGAAAAGGGAGTAGTAGATGGAGGGGAGGACATACGAGGGAATGTGGAAAAGGTCCTCCTCCTCCACCTCTTCCACCTCCTCATGCACCTTCTCGTCCCCCTCCCGTCCTCCTCCGTCTGCCCCTCCTCCTTCCCCTCATCGTCCTCCTCTGCGAGCATGCTCCCCGCCTCCTCCTCCTCCTCCTCCTCCTCCTCCTCCTCCTCCTCCTCGTCTTCGTCCTCGTCCTCCTCCTCCTCCTCCTCCTCCTCCTCCTCCTCCTCCTCCTCCTCCTTCTCCTCCTCCTCCTCCTCCTCCTCCTCCTCCTCCGCGGGGGAGGCCAGCACCTGCGAGAGGATCACAGGCCTGTGCCCCCGCACCAGCTCGGCGCGTATGACGCTCACCGGCGGCAGCTCCTGAGGCGCCGGGGCTCTCAGGGAGGGCAGGGCGTTCGGGAAGGGCAGGAGGGAAAGGGGGAAGGGCAAGGGGGAAGGGGGAAAGGGCAGGAGGGAAAGGGGGAAGCGCGCTGGGGAAGGGCAGGAAGGGCGTTTGGGAAGGGCAAGGGGGAAGGGGACGGACGGGTACGAAAGGGAGAGGGAAACGGAGCGAAGCGGAGAGCCCCGCACCGCGAAATCGGTTTCGGTCTCGTGTTCGTGTCGTGCGCGCGGGCGAGGCGAAGCTGCGCGGGCGGGCGAGAAGAATGAACCCTCCTCTGGCCAAGGCGCCGCTGGACCAAAAGACCAGCCCCCCGGGTTGCCCTACGGTGGCCTGGGGTGTCTCGCGGGTGTCCCGCTGGTGTCCCGTCGGTGTCCCGTGGTGAGATCGATAGTGAGATCGATCGTGGGATCAATAGTGAGGTCGATAGTGATAAGATCGACTAAGTGAGATCGATTAAGTGAGATCGATGGAGAAAAATCGTTTGTGAGATCGATGATGAGATCGAGGCTGGGTGGGCAGGCGAGAGGAATGAGCCGCCGTGCCGAAAGACCAGCCCCCCCAAGTGGTCTGGCGATGGCCTGAGATGTCTCGCGGGTGTCCCGCCGGTGTCCCGGCGGTGTCCCGTCGGTGACCCGTCGGTGTCCTGTCGGTGTCCCGTCGGTGTCCCGTAGTGAGATCGATATTACTATCGATGATGACTGGTGAAATTCATAATGAGATCGGCTGTGACATAGATAGCGATATTGCTAAGATGATCGATGGTGTGATCGATAACGATATTGTTCCTGAGATCGACAGCGATGTCGATAGTAAGGTTGATAGTGAGATCGATATTGAGATCGCCAGTGAAGATCATTGGTCAGATCGATCGAGAAGGATCGATCTTGAGATCGATAGTGAGACCGGTCGTGAGATCGATCGTGAGATCGATGGTGAGACAAATCGTGAGATCGATAATGGGATTTATCGAATGAGAGCGATGGTGGGGTCGATCGTGCAATCGATCGTGAGATCGATAGCGAGCTCAATAGTAGTGATATCGATCGTGAGATTGCCTGTGAGATCGATCGTGAGATTGAGTGAATGAGATCGACTGCGTGAGACATTGGTTCCTCCCCTCCCCCCGAACCTCCTGATGGGCCCATTTTCCACCACCACCACCATAGGTAGGAGAGGGAGGAGGAGGAGGAAGAGGAGGAGGCGGACAACGACGAGGAGGACCTCATCATCCTCCCTTCTCCCCCGTCCCACATATGGTAGTGGTGGTGGAACATTTGCCCATCACCTCCTTATCACCCAGAGCGTGGTCGTTGTGGCACACACATGTCGGCGGCGACGTTCGGGTCAAGCCACTCCATCATCCACTCCTGAAGTCTGGGGGCGATGTACCCTCCAGCGTGAGGAGCGTCGATGTGGCCTCCTACGACTCGTGTAAACCTGCTGGCGTTACTCGCGATGACCGCCTGAGCGTCTTGGTAGGAGCGCACTGATTGGCTGGTCCACCGGGCAGCAGCGGTGTCGATTATGCTGGTGTCCATTCCGGTGCCTCGGAAGGCGTGCCTCAGCACCCTCCTGCCTTGGTCGGTGGAGGTGTCCCAGATGAACGGTACCAGGATGCAGCTCCAGGTCATACCCGCGGGCACTCGGTCGGTGGCCACGAGGCCGCGTATTCTCCTGATCTCATCAATTAGGCCGCCGCTGCGTGCCCTGTCGTCTGTATTAAAGGTCGTCGCTCCTGCCGCTGGGGTCGCTCCCGCCGGCAAGTGCTGTCGCGTTGGCGTGGCCAGGAGTGGGGTCAACCTCCATACCGGTCGCCGCGCCGTCCCCGTTCCGAGAGGACGCGCGGCGCGGGTGTCGGGACTTGCTCTGGTGGTTGTTTGCTCGGACCTCAACCTCCTTGTCACCGCTTCGACGACGAGGCTGCCTACCGGGCTACCCGCTCCCATGCGCGCGTGAATGGTGCGCCCTTCGTGCCTCGCCATGGCCTGGAAAGCACCACGCATAACTTCGGCAGCTTCCGCGGGAACGGGCCTCCGCAGCTCGTCTTCAGGGACTGGTGTGTCAGCGATGGCCTGGTCGGGTAGTCCCCCCCAATCTGGGCTGCAGGCCACGCCAGGTCTGCCCTTTCGACGGCTGCGCCGGCTGCAAGAGCGGTGCGGACCCCATCGCTGGGTCCCGTGGGGGGCGGCGGCGACGCCCTGATGCTGGGCCTGGCGATCGCTGGTGGGGACCAGCTGTGCAGCTCTACGTGGTAGGCTGGGCACGCCTCCGTCAGGTCGCGTACGCGCCTGCATGTGTGAAGGGACCATTGGGTAGGAGCAGCGCAGAGCTGCGCCAGCGTCGCCACAGTCGCGCGGAGCCGAGGTTCGTCCCCTAGGCCCCCTCTGCCCAGGATTCGGTTACTGAGACACGCGTCTGGGCGCGCGGCCATGTGTCTCCACGCGCCGAGCAGTTCGCCGACGAGCCAGGATGCGGTGTAGTCCACTGGGCCTGGCGCACGCGGTGTGTACAGGTGCTCCGCGATCGGGGCATACCGCGCTCCTACCCTGGCCAGCTGAAAGGAGAGTTCTTGCCCCAGCGCGTCCACCGGGTGGTTGGGTTGCTGAAGGGTGCCTGGGGCCAGATCACTGTCAACGATGCTCCAGGGCAGGGCCAGCCGTCGGCAGGCGATGCAGGTGCGCCCCCTTGGCTCCCGCAGTTGCCAGGCCCCGCAAAAGTCGCAGCGGATGGTGGGGCAGAAGAAGTCGCCGAAGAGCAGGCGGTACGCCGCGGTGTTCCAGGGCCATGGGCTGCTTGAGTGCTCTCCGCCCTGCGCGGATCCACCGGGGATGCCTGGCCCGAAGGTGGTGCTTCCCTCCAGCGCAGGTGATGCCCAGGGAACAGGTCCGAGATGTCCGTGATGCTCTAGTGGGAGCACGTCGTTTCCCAGGCACCGGCACGCACCTCTGTCATCCGCCCAGCTCCGTATGTCGCTGTGATCGGGGAGGTGTATAATATTGTTCCCGTGCTCGTGCACGATCACTCTGTATGCTCTAGCCGGGGCCTCGTCGTCCATGAGGTCCACTGTCCCTTCGGGCCTGCCCGGTCCAGACATAATCCTGGGGACCGCATCGCGCCGCGCTCTGGTCGGGGCGAGGACCTGGAACTAGGCTGTCTGGGACAGCCATGCCGAGGTCGCAATAGTGTGCAGCAGCAGCCATCGCGTCCTACTCGAGTCGCGCCGGCTGCAGTTCATGGGGCTGGCATTGTCGCCGTCGAGTCTCACCGCGTGGATGAGGGGATCGTGTGCGATACTGGCGAAGCGGAGAGCGAGGATCTGCACTGGGTCTGGACGGACCCCCCCCAGCCTGCCCTCGTGGTCCGCACCCGTGATTGACCAGACTAGCCCCGAGAGGTCCATGAGGGTCAGGGCGCTCGCGGTGGCAAGGCGGGTCGGTGCTGGAAGTCCATCGCCAGGGTCGGGAAGCGCTGCCCGCAATTCGGAGTTGGGGTGCGTACCTGGATGACCAGGGCGGTGCCGGCTCCAGCTGCGGTGCACTAGCATCTCGAGGTTGTGGCTTTGCTCTGGAGTGCGCCCCGTCCCTCTGTTTGTCAGTTCACGCCAGGGGCCTTCCACGCGTTGGTAGCTCCGAAGGAAAGCGTCCATGGTGCCTCCTCTGCCTGTGACTCTGGGGTCGGCAACGCGCGGGCCGCTGGCTGGACCATCGCTCTCGCGGCTTTGTCGCCATCTGACGTCAGTGCGTCCTGTGGCGTCCATCCACCTTGCGTGGATGTCGGCGCTGAATTGGACCCTTCGTGTGTCCCGCTCAGCGCCGCCTATGTCGGGGTCTGAGGGTTCGTCGTAGCCGGCGGCGGCGAGGCGGTCGTCTTCGGGCGACCAGTCTGGACAAGGGGGCACGGCAGGGGATCCGCCACATGGGGGGCCGCAGCCCGCGGGGCGAGGGGGGCGCGGGGCTCCTCCCTTTCTGGGCCAAGAGGGGCGGGCGGGGGGGCGGGAAGTCCAGGGGGGTGGCGATAGTGGGGAGGGGGCGAAGCGGAGCGATCGAGGAGGCGGCTGCGTTCCGACCTGGGATCGCGGGCGGCTGATCGTGATCGGCGGGGGCGGGAGATCCTGCTCGGCGCGGGCGCCCTGCCTGTCCTGGTAGCGCCGCGATTGGCGCCCCTGGCTGCTGACGTGCCCAGGCGAGCGCCGCGCTCCTCCGCGTCTGCAGCTGAATGTTCTGGGCTGCGCCACCGGGGCCCTCTACGGCGGGGTTGCCGCACGGGGGGCCTGATGCCGCCAAGGCTGCATCTGGGCTGCAAGGCCCATAGTTCGTTTGCTGCACTGACTGCCCAGGGTCCCTCGCCGGGTCGGCGCCGCCAGGACTCGCCCCCGTTGGGTCTCTGCTGCTGAGGGCAGCCGCTTAAGAGGAAACTGGGCGAGGGTCTTACGTGTCCATTGGGGAGGGTTGCCCGTCCACCGCAACGCTGTCCGATCCAGGCTGCAAGCTTCCAGGAGCTGAGGTGGCTCTACCGCGGGGGCCCGTGCCCCCAAACAGCAGTTCCCCCCGGGGCAGCTGACGGTCGCTCTTCCCGTGTCCAATGCCGCGTTGCTGGTCGCGACGTGGCCAGGAGGGGCTGAGGTCCCCATCGGGGCAGGACCTGGGGCTCTTGGTCCATTCCCAGCGGCGGCCTCCGTCGTCGCGTCGGCGCCGCCAGGATTGATGCTAGCTGGCTCTCTGCTGCTGAAGGCAGCCAATTCGGAGGAAGCAGGGGGGGGGGTCGTCTGTATCCATCGAGGACGGTCGCCGATCCTCAGCGTCGCTGTCCGCGCCAGGCTGCGCGCTGTCTCGAGACGCGCGCCCGCCTCTGCTGTCGGCGCCCCCACCGCCGCGGGGCGGCCCCCCCCTAGCGCGGGTGAAGGCCGCTCTTTCGTCGTCGAAGCGGGCGCAGCCTCCCGCGGTGTTTCCAGGGGGGGCTGGGGGCCCCCATCGGACCA